CTGCACCAGCCGGCTCTAAAAGGGTGGATAAAATACTTCGGGAAGTTCTTTTTTAAAATCCAGAGGAAAATATTCAATCCAGTACACTGCAGCCGCAGCCTCTCATTTCCAGAGCGGGCTGGTGGATCTGCAAGGAAACAGGGATGAAGATATCATCATCACTTCTGGGAAGGGTGAAACTCCTGGAAATATTTATGCGGCATTTCTTTGGTTGCAGTATTGACATGTGATACTTTTCAAAAGGCTAATGCAACTTTATCTGACTAAAATTGAGATTTTCAAGGTCACATGGGCAATGTCAACACCTCCATCACCTGTACAACAGCAGCCTGGTAAATAAAGTTATGGGTTTATTTGTAAAAGAAACTATAGAATCTACTTCAAGTGATTAAAAAAAATTAGTAATCTAATGAGGATGAGAAGGCAGCTATAGAGAGTTTTAATGAGTTGCAATCACTGTCACACCTGCTACCTCCCACTACTCCAGTAGTGAAGTGAAACTGAGAGCAGTTTCAGAAGCGAGTTTGAAATGACAACATGCAAGTCCTGGAAATGGCCTCAGTAAATTCTGCCTAAAACATGCCTGTACCCCATCTGGAATACATCTCTGTGTGTGCACATACATATGTGTGCATATCAATACATATATCAAAGAGAAGTTTAAACACTTTGATGATTTTTGATAGTTTCAAACCCTTACATAGTGACGTTAGAAGTGTGCTTCACAAAAAGAGAACTTTTCAGCAGGAGCAATAGGACAAGGGGAATTGATTTAAACTATAAAGGGTAGATTCAGACTAAAGATAAGGAAGATTTTTGTTAATGGCAGGGTGGGCAGGCCCTGGCACATGGTGCCCAGAGAAGCTGTGGCTGCCCCTGGATCCCTGGCAGTGCCCAAGGCCAGGCTGGACAGGGCTTGGAGCAGCCTGGGATGGTGGAAGGTGGGTTGGGATGAGATGAGTTTTAAGGTCCTTTTGCACCCAAAGCATCCTGTGGTTCCATGACTCCTTGCACTGCTCCTGAGCAGGTGAATGCCCCTTTGCCTAAGGGACTTCATTTCCCAGTGAAATTGCTAAGGAGCCATTTTAAATTTGGAGATAACCTTTCCTCAGCAGCAGGGATTTGGTCTCCTAGCAACAGCAGAGCACCTTGTGAGCCCCACTAGAGCTTCCTCTCGCAGCAGGGCCGGGAGCATCCCAGTGCTGGTCCTTCCTCCAGCAGAGGGGCCAGGCAGCAGGCAGCTGAGGCCCCAGGAGCAGGACAGCAGCTGGGCTGTGCGCAGTGTGCTAGCACAGCCTCTGGTCCCACTGGACACCTTCCTTTTCAATATCCCTAATGCTGACTAGCAATAGTTTCTTCTCGGGCTGGAAAACTTGTACCACAGCAGGACCAGACTGAATTTGTATCAGCTTGCTTTTCTGGCAAGGTTCACTGACAGCCATCAGTTGGGAGGGCAGCTGGTTTTGTTCTTGGCAGGAGTATGAAATGTCAGAATTGCAGGTACCTCGCAATGAGAAGAACAAGAGGGCAAAGCAGCACCATCACACAGGTGCATTTCAGTTGGCTCTGAATCAATCACATGAAATATATTGTAAAGGGTATCAAGTGAGCAGAGACAATGCTAAAAGCCTGGAGAATGGGCAAAGAGAGGTGATTTTCTTTTCCTGTGCTGAGAGCAGTGTCCCAGTTGCTTTGCTGCTCTCAGGGGAGCACAGAGGGTGCAGCTTTGTCAGCGCTCCCATCAGAGCAGGTGCAATGTCCCACTGCCTTTCCAAATCCCATGAATTTGAGCAGTTACAACTTTTAGAACATCCTTATTAAAATGGTTCCTTGGAACCTGCTCACTGGAGTAAGATTTCAACATAACACAGACAGAGCAGAGAATGGGGCAAAAGGGATGTGCACCAGAGGAGTGCAGAATAAAACTTCATAAACTCTGCATTTCTTCCCTGTCTTTTGCCTTATTCTGCTTTTCTCTGCTTCTTTTCCTGCCCTGTACATATTTCCTTACCAAGATGCTGAAGCTGCAGAGTGAGGTAAAGCAGCAGGGCTGCTATATTTAAGCAAGGAACACAAACCACAAAAGGTTAATGCCACAAACCGACTTGTGTGTGCTTTTCCTGTTGTTTACATTGCTCCAAATTTCGCTACCCTGATCCACGTTAATATTAATCTCCATTTTATTTTATTTCCCTGGTCTTTTTTTCAGATGACCTGCACAATGATGGATTTGATGCACACCTCAGCTCTTGCTTGAATTGCATCTCTCAAGCTCAGGAGTGCTGTGGTTTATTAACTTGCAGTGCCACCTAGCACACAACCCTCACATTATTGTTTCTGTAGTTTCACAAAGGGCACCTCAAAGCTTTTGCATAAAAAAAGAGGATAAACTTACGTTTGGAGTATTTTAAGGACCTAATGCAAAGTTTAGTTTTGAACAGTTAAGTTTTTATTAGAAAATGCAACCCCGTGACATGGAGGGTGAAGGCCAAGATCGTGTCCTGACCTCATCCCTGCTGATAACAGAGCCCAGCCACGCTCAGACTCCCTGCCCAAAGCAGCTTCTCTTCATTCACAATGCCAACACACCCCAGCCTTTCCACAGTGCTTGCTTTGGCAGCAAAACAAATCTTAACGTTTTAGTGCTTCTCTTAGAATTTTTAAGTAGAATTTCTCTCAGTGAACACAGAAACCACTGCATGTTTGGAATCCAAGAATTAAAGCAAGTCAAAACAAAAGATAAGCCAGCAATAATAAGAATGGTTTGGTCTTAGTTATGATTTTATGATCCCTGATTGTTCAGCCTATCTTCAAAGGGTGCAGCACTGCCAAGAGCTGCACTGACAGGAGAACACAGAGGCAAAACAATCTTGGAGCAAGGGAAAAGACTTCACAATTTCTACACACTCAGATTTAGAATCAAAGAGTTCTTCCCTTCTCCCCACATCCTTGGGTTCACCTTGCTTGGACTGACAGAAAGGAATCCCCTGTGGGGGCAGAGGGATGTGTGCCACAGCACTCACTGTGGGTATTACAGAATTACTGCCACTGCTGCCTTTTACGTTTCAGTTTCTTCATGACATCACAACAGAGAAACCCCAGTGAAGACAGAAAAATTTCAACCCAGGTCAGGCATTTCAGACAAGTCCCCCTGGTTTCTAATTCCCAAGAGAGGAAACCCCAGAATCCAGGCACTGTGACTGAGCTGTGTCTCCACAACCCAGTGGCTCTTGGGCATACACCACAAACAACAAAGTTTACTTTGAGTCCTGGCCTTTCATGTTTTCATTGTTCTCTAAAGTGCAGGATCTGACTCTGGTTACAAATTCACTGCTGTTCCTTCAAGAGACTGCCCTTGCTAGAACCATGGCACGTTATAATGCAGCTGGGAGTGTGGCTGTTCTCCAATTTATTTTACCAAAATACACCTTTTCAACTACTAATTATAATGACACTCTTCCTTTTTTTTCCCCGGTACAATGTGAAGATTAGTCATGACAGATGTTTTTTTCCTCCTCAGGAAGTAAAGAAATCCATACCTTAATTAATATAAGGAGATAATTAGTATGCTGAGGTGATGAGGCCTCAAGCAGCTCTGTTGAGAAGCTATTTATTTCTCTTTCTTTTCATTCAGTGAAGTACAGACACTCCCCAGATGTGCAGAGCTCTTCATGCCAGCGAGGAAATCCAGCTGGGGAGGTGCCACTGCCACAGCAACAGGGAGAAAACTCAGGAGACAGGTCTTTGTCCTTGCAGGAGGGAGGATAAACACCTATTTTTTTTTCCTCTCTCACCTCCTCATTATCTCCCAATCTCTGAAATCTTCCAAGCACTGATAAAAGCATTTTCTGTCTGTTTGACCAACTTTCCGGGGTCAAACTTATGTCTTATTAACAGTTAACCTCAGTTTCTCTATTCAAGCTGAGGAATCCACTGCTTTGCCACCCAATAAATGAGGATGGATGGCTCTGGAAGTTCTCAACGCCCTGGTGCTCTTCTAGTCCATAAACACACATAAACACACTCTGCAGAGAATGGAAAGGTGTTGACCACCATGGTCTCATTAGTGCTGTCCTGGCAATCCCCTGTGACAGATTAATAGTGCTACAGACCAGCTAGAGATTAACAGTAATTATTTTTTATTCGTTTCATGCACCGTTTCAATTTGTTAAACAGTTCAGGGACTGAATAATAACACGATTCCTGTGTTTTGTTGTTTTCCAGGTTACAATTGCTAATTAGGATATTCTCAATCATCACGTGCACAAATCAGTAGTTATGCCAAATTTTTACTATTAAATCATAACCAAGGAACATATTTCTTTCCACTTTCATGGGTAGATTTCCATATTTATAAAAATAATCAGACAACTACAAAAATAAGCATTTTCTTAGGAAAAAAAAAAGGTTACATAAAAAATCAGTATGGTATTTCTGTCTGGTTTTTCCACGATATAGCCATTACACAGAGGAGATGGAACCCTACAGAACTTGCTCTAAAAATATGGTGATTTTTTCACCATTTAGAATTCTAGTACTGAGGAAACGTTGGGTCAATTTTAGTGGCCCAAGCCATGAGCCCCCCTTTAATATCCTTAGCTGACACAGAACCAAATTCTTCGGCAGGCAACTCCTGCAGAATTTTTACAGCCTTCTGGGAATCATTTCCTAACTTGCAAACAACATAAACAGGGAGAGAGGTTTGGCCCTCAGCCCTCTGCTTTTCTTCGCAAATTCTGCTTTGTAAAAGCTGCAGAGATTCCTGGTCTCTCTCCTGCAGCCTCCTCAGCGGGATGTGGAGGGCGTGCGGCAGGCGGCAGATCTCCGCCTCCACCTGCGGCCGCACGTCCAGCAGCAGGTGCGGCTCTCGCGCGTCCAGCAGCTCCCGGTAGCGCCGCACGGAGATCCTGTCCCCGGCGGGCAGCAGCCGCAGCGCCCGGCACTGGTCCGTGGCAGAGGAGCCGCAGAACGCCTCGTAATCCTGCAGGCAGGTGATGCTGGGGCTGTCCCCGCACGCCGCGCAGTCCGCTTTCCGCGGCCGCAGCTTGATGTGGCGGAACCTGCCCTCGAGGCCGTCGAACATCAGCATGCAGCGGCCGAAGGAGGAGCCCACGCCCGAGGCGATCT